ATTAATTTTAGTTGACAAACATTATCCAGGTCTGTTTCTTCCATACCACTTCCTACCCTTTATCCCAACAGGGACTGATTGGCAACACAGCTTCCAGACTGCAGGGTTCTGGAGACAGAACTACTGGCTTCCAAAGTAGGGGTTCAGGTCTAGCTTCATGGTTAAGAGCATGAACTCTGAAGAAGGAGTGCCAGGTTCAACTTGAGGATCCACTTATTACTAGTAAGGGGACTGTGCCTACTAGTTACTAAAGCTCCCTGTGCCTCAGTTTCCTCATCCTTAAAATGGGGTCAGTAAAAATGAATTAAATAAGCTACTGTCTGCAAAGCACTTAAAACAGTCAGTGAACAAAGTAAGTATTATTGTTATTTTTTCCTTTCTCTCTCCACCTGGGCTCTCTCACTTATCCTGAGGATAACACACCAGGTACTTGAATGTTGGCTTTGACAGTAATAAGGAGGCTATTGATCTGCTTGATGTATATTGCTCTCATATATACCAAAAACCTAGTAAAGAAGTGATCTTCAAACCCAAAGCAATAGCCTTCCATAAAGAAACATTATGAGGGAACAGGCAAAAGTTGAAGAGTGATGCAAAAAATTACCTCCCAGGACTGCCAACTACAGAAAGGGCAAACCACAATTATCTCCCCAGGCTCTGTGCTCACCGATTCCTCTACAAAGGGCAGTCGTAACCGTGCCTGTGTGACCCTGGAGTCTGAGATGGTATCCGGAGACTCCTCCAAGGCCAGGACACCGTTCTTCCAACACGAGGGGCTATTTTATAAGCCATATCTGTTTGATTCTCTCTTATCACAAGGAGAGTACACGGCAGCCTTTGAGATGAAAGCAAATCTTCATTTTTCACTGCTGCTAAAGAACTTCACAGAAAAGACATGCAAGGTATGAGATGCTATGAGATGATCCGGCAAGGCCCTCGGAAAAGACGGTGAAGTGGTCCTTTTTCTAGAAAGGCATAAACCAGCTAAAGAAGTTGATGTTCTTAATTTATCAGCTTTATTTCTATCAGAATTATGTTCATCTCACATGTAAAAAATTGTTTTGAGCATGTATTATGTTTAGAGCCCTATATTAGGTACTGAGGATAAAACAATGCATGAGAAACAATCCCTTCCTCGATGACCAAAAACTCTGGTGTGGAAGACAGTAAACTGTTGATGACAAGTCAGTATGAGACAAGGAATGGTCTATATCTCATTAAGGAACCAGTGAATAGCTATGAGAAAGTACAATGCAGGAAGGCCAATTGAAGAAATATTTATTGTGAGGCCATTTTATGAAATTGACTATGCCGGGAAAAACCAGGAGTGACAGGTAGAACCACTCTGATTCTCATGGATGAGTTTCAAATTCAATTATAATAGTAATAATATTACTAAATGTTTAAGACATTTATTTAGTGTTTGAAAGTGAAAGTGTTAGTCGCTCTCTCGTGTCTGACTCTTTGCGACCTCATGGACTCTAGCCCACCAGGCTCCTCTGTCCATGCGATTTCCCAGGCAAGAATACTGTAGTGGGTTGCCGTTACCTTCTCCAGGGGGTCTTTCAGACCCAGGGATCAAACCCAGGTCTCCTGCAATGGAGGCAGATTCTTTACTGTCTAAGGCAGCAGGGAGGACTTAAGTGTTTACCATGTGCCAAACATAATTCTGAGAAGCACTTCAGATCTTTTAGCCTCTTTAATGCTCATGAGATACTGAGGTAAATACTATTATCCCATGCTTTATGGCCAAAAAAATAAGGGCTCAGAGAGGTTAAGAAACTTGCCCTATGTTACACATCAAGTAAACACTGAAACAAGGATTGAAACTCTTAACAGTCTAGACATGGAGTCATTTTTTTAATACGCTTGCTATCTTGTCCGACCAGAAGGCCTTCTTCAGACAGGCTTGCCCATTAGCCAAATAGCTCTTACTATACCTCAGCTACCCACTGCCCTCAATACGCCAAAATCTGAGTTGCTTTATGCCCAGAGCAATGTTTATCTTCAGTAAGGCTCAAAAGCCCAGCCAGTCACTGCCAAATGAGGCGGAAGACACGGGGCCCTACCTAACAAAGAAGACCCTCAGGTGTATTGTTCTGAAGGCAAGAGAAGGGATGGGAGTGGGCAAAAAAGGAGGAAAGGGCAGCTGAGGAGAAACCGACTCCTGGAAAGTCTCTAAGCTACTCAAATGAGCTCAGAGAAGGATCCAGAAAAGAGTAAAAAATCAACTGGAGAAGACCACAAAGTAATACAGCCCATGAGTAAGGGAGACATGCAAAGACAAGGGCTGGACACGAAGCCAAGCTGCCCTCCTCAACGGAAACCACCTCACTCACGTTTGTTTCTTCTGCGGAGCCCTCAGCCTCTCATCACCCTGTTAGCTGAGGTGGAGGATGTGAGGATGATGGGCTCTTTTCTGGACACTGAACTTCAAGTGCCTGGGGGACACTCCAGCAGAGATGCCCCAGGCAGTGGGATGTGTAAGTCTGAGGCTGAAGAATGAGGACTAGCCTCACCCCAAACCTCTTGGGTCCTCAGTCCCAGCTCTGGCCAAGACACCACAGTACCTTCCTCGGCTTTGGACATACTCCTTCAAGAGGAACAATGAGTCTGGCTGCAGTTTGGGTGGTTACTTTCAAAGATTTTAAAGTGAAGTTCACTCAAAGATCTTGGCTGATTTTGACAAGGATGTACCTGGGTGCTGACACACCCCCACCCACCCCCAAATGTAGTGAGAATTACAGCTGGGAGAGTGGGTGATGGGCCACGAATCTAACTCCTCTCCATACAGCCTCTCCACCAGCCCAAGAATGGGTGGCCAGTGGGCCCTGCTTCCCCCTGCTCTCAACCGAGTGAGCAACACAAACAATATTTGTATCTCCTGTTCTCCACAGCAGGCCAGACAGAAAAGATGTCAGAAACCTGGCAGGTCATTTCCCAACTTTATTAATTCCTGATAGATTGTGTATTCCATGGATACCCAAAAGCTGGCCAGGTGATATAACATCAATACCTGCAAAGGCCATTTATTACAGTTTGCTTTTCAAAATACCATTCAGTTCTTATATTTCCACATAATACTCAAATTTTTTAAAATTGAGAATTAAAAAGTAAATATCATGGTCCATCATATCCTCAAGGGAGCAGCTAACGAAGGTTCTCTCTTTAGGTTCCTTTAGAGAACTTGAGGAAGGCCAGTTTTTGCATTTACAATCTAGACAAGATAGGAAAAATAAAACTGTAGATACAACATCCTAATTTGGGTTATGCCAGGGATTTAGAATGGTGACAGGGGTTTAGTGATTTTTTAAAAAAATCTATGTGAACTCCAAGAAACTAAACAAGAACTGAGCTTGCTTACCAGTCAAGAGCACAACTGTTTACACGGCATGGGTGTGTGTCCAGTCGCTCAGTCATGTCCAACTCTTTTGCGACCCCATAGACCACAGCCCTCGAGGCTCTTCAGTCCCCGGGATTCTCCAGGCAAGAATACTGAAGTGGGTTGCCATTTCCTCCTCCAGGGGATCTTCCTGACCCAGGGATAGAACCCGCATCTTCTGCATTGGCAGGTGGATTCTTTATCACTGAGCTACCTGGGAAGCCACTTGTACATAAGCCGAAGGCAAAACTCTCCTTCTTAAATAAATACATGTAACACTAAAACAGAAACAAAGTGCAAAAAAAGTCTCCCCAGTTAATTGAACAGAAGCCATCTAAGCTAGGGCTTCCAAGGTGGTGCTCGTGGTAAAGAACCCATCGCCAATGCAGGAGACATAAGAGATGTGGGTTTCATCCCTGGGTCAGGAAGATCCCCTGGAGGAGGGCAGGGCAACTCGCTCCAGTATTCTTGCCTGGAGAATCCCATGGATGGGGAGCCTGGAGGGCTACAGCCCATGGGGTCACAAAGAGTAGGACACGACTGAAGTAACTCAGCATGCACTCATGCATCCAGATTAAAAGGTTATGCAAGGCAGTTGAAGAATCATTAGTAATAAATGATTATTGTATAAATGTATACATGTATAAAGCCTGTATAAATGAGGTTATGATCAAGAAAAATGCTGAGAGAAACAGAGAGATGGTTTGTCGTGTCTCACAGAAGAGGAAGTTCACATGTGAGTACATGAGTACGTATCCAAGTGCACGTGTGTATGCATACAAAACAAGAGAAAAAGAAGCTTGGGGCCTACACCATGAGGTCCTAAGCAACCTTCTCACACTGTTCCTCCCATGATCATCATGAGATCCTTTGATCTCCTCCAGGGTCAGCCCACACTCCTCTGTCTGTCCCTCTGTCCACACCATAACCCTGACCGAAGAGTCCTCCCACTGCAACTCTCTTTCTGCAACGCAGTGTCCTTCAAGGTCTAGCTCACGTTCCATGACGTCTCACTATCCTTTTCTGGTAAGTCCAGCCCAAAGCGTCCTCTCCTTCTTCTATCTTCCTACAATCAGTGTCACTCACTCATTAAAGAAAAATCCCAACAACATAAAGTTAAACAAAATTCCCTTCCAGGTGTTTCAGTAGAGCATCTCCTTTCTCTCATCACTGGGTGTTGTCCTGAGTCTTTGGGAGTGTCTGACCCCCTCAGCCTAAGGAGAAGTTTTTTAAGGCAGGGACTGTGTCTTCATACATCTTTTAAGCCTTCACAGTACAAGACTGTGGCGAATGTGTGGTCTGATAAACATCTACTGATGTGAATAAGTGGTATCATGCAATGCCAAAGGAAAGGACTGCATTAATTATGGGAATATCCTGATTCTAACAAAAAAGATTAGGAAAGAGAATTAACCACAGTTATCCTTTCACTCCGTAGCTCCTAGGACAATAAGACTGGAGACTTCAGATAAGGTAAGTGTGAAAATAAGTGGAAGAAGAGGATTAAGAAGGCAAAGACAGACATGGACAGTGGAGAGGCAGACTTTCATGAGGCAGATGCAAGAGCGGCAAAGCAAAATCAACCACTGTTCACTAGCAGTCAGCTGTGAAGACATACCTGTATTTCCTTGAGCATCTTCTACCTTGTTTGAAGAGGCCAACAGAAAAGAAGGCCTGGCGAAGTGAGGGCCCTGAAGAGAAACTTCTTGCTGCAGAGGCATGGCTTTGAGGACCACCCTCCAGTCCACCTGGGTAATATCTGACCTTGATCGAGCATGCCCAGGCTTAAAAGTCGAGGTCTCATCCAATAAGTCATTCACAGAACGAGGCCTGTCTCTTCGACGCTGACAGATGTTGAAAAAATTAAAGGTGGATGCTTCCTTTTGTTCCATCCAGGACAGATTATCTGGGGTTGTCCCCTTCTGGACCATAAACTGTTCTTTGGCAGGGAAGACATTTGGAACTTTGGTGTCTAAGAGTCTGGTCTTACAATGGTCCCAGATCACACCCCCCTGGCCCAGGGAGGTGACATTTCTGATAGCACCATTGTCTATGTTACCGAGGACCTCCCGCCCCACCAATTCAGGGACTTCTTGGATCCCATAAACCTCTGCTTGCTGCACAGCCTTTTCAAGCTTATTGTCAAAAGTATTAAAGAAATCCTCGGTCACTTCCAAGGCTGGGCTAATGTCATCCACTTCCAAAGCTTCCATGTCATACGCTCCAAGGGGCCAAAGCCTCCTACACTGGTTCAGGAAAGGGCTTCATGAACATTCACCCAACAAGGAGAAGTGTTTTGGGCAAGAGAGTTCTGGAAGCAACTGGAAGGAACTTTCATTCAGCTGCCCAGAGCAGGTCAAGCACAGGGGTGGCTGATTTCCCGAACATGAACAACATTTTCTAGACGATAACAGTCATCAACAAAGGTACTGGGAGACAAATATTCCTTTGAGAATACTCTTCAGGGATACCACTGTCAAGACAACAGGAGTATTTGTCAAAGCAGCATCACGACCATCTTTGATTTCCTGAAAGAAAATAAACAGAACAACATTGGCACATGGTTCATTGTATTCTACACATATGAATCTGCCCAATTACATCCTCATCTTGACATCTTTTCCATGGCAGTCATGTCCAAACGTGGACAACACCCAGAAGTTCTCCTGTTAAGAGTACACATCTCTACTTTGTGTTAAAACTTACACAGAGCAGCGTGGGACTCCTGATGAGTGGAATTAGTCAAGAGCTTTTACTCACACAGAGAGGCCTTTTATAACATGTGTGAAAAGACTGCCCTGGCAAATCTCTGTTGATACTGAACTAAAACAGTAAGCAACAGAGACTAGGAATTCTGTGACTGGACCTATATCATAATCAGTCTGAAAGTCATAATTGCATGAGTCTTTTCACAAACTTTGAAAGCACTGATGGTTTGTTCAGCTCAAAGGTGCAAAAGGGAAGCAGAGAGGAAGAATGGCTCTTCTTCCTCTGAAGGTCACTGTGCTATGCTTCCTAGGTTTGGATGACGCAATGCCTGAAATGACTCTGGACAATTTTTCCAGTCAGCCTGCAAAAAGGTTTCAGTGTTCAAACTCCCTGAGGCTTTGAGGATTGCCTATCTGTAGGTTCGGGAGATTCCCTGGTGGCTCAGAGGGTAAAGCGTCTGCCTACAATGCGGGAGACCTGGATTCAAACCCTGGGTCGGGAAGATCCCCTGGAGAAGGAAACGGCAACCCACTCCAGTACTCACGCCTGGAAAATTCCATGGATGGAGAAGCCTGGTGGGCTACAGTCCATGCGGTCGCAAAGAGTCGGACCCGACTGAGCGACTTTACTTTCACTATGTGTAGGTTCAGGCTTGGGGCTGGGCGGAAAGAATCCTAACACTACCTCACTCTCTGAGATACCTAGATCCCCAAGGCCAGGCCAAATGGGAACAGTAATGCTGTCCAATATGGAAGACACTAGCCATACATGGCTATTTAAATTTAACTTTATTAAAAATCAAATAAAGTTCTTCAGTCACACTAGCCCATTTCGCATGCTCAACATACACCTTTGTATCTTCACCAAAAAACGAACAGACAAACAAAACAACTAGGTAAACTCCGTTTTCCTTAACTACTTACAAGTAAAGAAAACCAGGCAATTAGCAATACCTTTGCAAGTGGCTATAAAGGTACATAAATGTGCTATTTTCTCTAAAACCGCACAATTTCTGTAGTACATTAAAATCATTTTTAGCACTTAGGTCATGAAGTCATTGTATTTAAATCAACAGCACTAATCTATATTGCTTAATGTGTTAAGCTAATATATATAGCCTTTTATTTTAAATGTATCAAGGTGTGCAGGTTATAGGAATTTGATGGCTAACCTCTTGTAAACTGATAACGACTGTGAATCTATCTACTTTTTAGATTTTGATGTTTATTATGTTGGCAAGGAACTGACTAAAAATCAGTTATAACATTTTTCAAGTTGCAAACAGGGTTTTGTTTGCTGTGTCTGTGCTAAGCCTGAGTCTCCTGAATTTTACAGCAGTTTTACTACTTCTGTAATTTTGGAACTTGTAATTTTCAGTTTCATCTTGTACACCAGAGGCTAAGAAAAAAATATAAAATAAATCTTAAAAATTTTACTTCTTTATTGACTAAAATTCTAAATGAACATCATAAAGTATGTTTCCCACTTTACAGAAGAGAAACTAAGGTGCAGAGCACAAAGCTATTCACCTAAGATTCTATTTTGAATATTCCTTTCCTTACCCAGTGCTGAAAATTCAGTCTTTATATATGATAGAAAGCATAAATACCTTCAAATTGACTTTTTTAAAAAAAATCAAAATGTCTAGGAATATATTCATTGTGTTTCCTGCTTTGGCATTTGCAAGCTGGTTCAGTTCAGTTCAGTTCAGTTGCTCAGTTGTGTCTGATTCTTTGCAACCCCATGGACCACAGCACACCAGGCCTCCCTGTCCATCACCAACTCCTGGAGTTTACCCAAACTTATGTCCATTGAGTTGGTGATGCCATCCAATCATCTCATCCTCTGTCATCCCCTTCTCCTCCTGCCTTCGATCTTTCCCAGTATCAGGGTCTTTTCCAAAGAGTCAGCTCTTCGCATCAGGTGGCCAAAGTATTGGAGTTTCAGCTTCAACATCAGTCCTTCCANACTCTGCACACAAGTTAAATAAGCAGGGTGACAATATACAGCCTTTACACACTCCTTTTCCTATTTGGAACCAGTCTGTTGTTTCATGTCCAGTTCTAACTGTTGCTTCCTGATCTGCATACAGGTTTCTCAAGAGGCAGGTCAGGTGGTCTGGTATTCCCATCTCTTTCAGAATTTTCCACAGTTTATTGTGATCCACATAGTCAAAGGCTTTGGCATAGTCAATAAAGCAGACACAGATGCTTTTCTGGAACATATAACCACTGCTGGCCAGCTCTGCTGGTTTGTGGAACACTTCATGCCAATGCATTCTAAATTTGTAAACTCGTAGCCAAGGTAGGGGCCTCTGAGATCATCCTTGCAACCCCAATTGTCCACAGAAAGGGACACTGAGGCCCAGAGAGACTAAAAGGTCCCAAGGATACTTTGAATGCAATGCCTCATTTAACCCTCATTAAGGGCAGTAACAACTCAACTTGAGAACCACCTCAGTGCTGTTTACCCAGGGATTCTAGAAGCCACTCGTCTACCCATCTAGTCATGATTCATTAAAGTCACGACAGACAAAAGATGCTGACAATGGAAAGATGAATCAAATACACTCTGGCCCTAAAGAGACTCATGGTCTATCACGATGAGCCTAAGAAAATAAGTCCAAAACACTTCCTTGATAGAGAATGGAAACAGATTTGGTGGGGGAAGGAGGGAGGGGGTCACCTGACAGCAAGGGTGAGGGAGAGATTAAGGACATGCCCTTTGAGTTGAGCCTAGAAAACTTAGATGGTATTTGCAAGGATAGTTCGGAAGAAATTAGGAAGAGCAAATCACCTTTTGGTTAGCAAGGGATTTTCAAGTTCATTATATAAAATGACTTTTCATAGGCAATGGGGTGAGCAATACAGTGGAGTATAGCAAGCAAGCTAGCAGACCCAGAGTCAGATCTAGCTCCGAATCCTAATTCTATCTCACTCTAGCTATGTAATTTGGGGTAAGATTTCCCTGACCCACCCCTACTCCAACCCAAGTCCTCTGGACTAATCTGTTCTTCCTATTCTAGGAATTTCATTTTTGGTGCTTTCCACTGCTTCTGTCCGGAACCTACACAGCTATTTTCTTTGTTTTCTGATGTAAACATGCATTAATCGTACTCTTCACTGTGTACCCCGGAATTTCCAGGCCATACTTCCTCTCCTCATTCCTCCACTTAAGACACACAAGCCTTTTAGTTCCTCCTCCAAGGTTTACTTTTTGGATCTCCAGGCCTGTACTCGGGCTGATCCCATTGCCAGAGGAGTTATGCCCTCCTGGACTCTTCTGCCCATCATATCAATGCCTAATCATCTTTGAGGGTCCAACCTAACAGCAAGTGACATACCTGCACTCTCTAAAGAGGGCCACAACAACAGTTCCTATCCCATGTGCTTTTCTGCAATGAGAACTTGCTACTTCCCCATCAGAAAGTGTTTACTTCTCCTCTCCCGAGAATGTAGGCAAGGCTTGTGATGTTTTGATCACTAGTGTGTGGCAGAAATGGTACTGAGCCCATTGGAAGTGTAGCCCTGAATAGGCCTGGCAGCTTCCTCTTCCTATTTAGCTTGAAGCTAATTAGACAGAAAGTCCAGGCTACTCCGCTGCAGGGAGAGGCCAAGTATTAGAGCACAGAGGCTCCAGACACATGAGGGAAGAAGCTGTCTTGAATGGCAGCCTAATTGAGCTCTCCGATGATTCTAGCCCCAGTCAGTATCACAATCCCAAGAGAGAATTTTCCAGCTGAGTCTAGTTATCTCAGACCCATGAGAGAAAATAAATTCTTTTAAGACACTAAATTTCAGAGTATTCTGCCACACTGCAAACAATCATTAGGACTCATCACTTCCTTAGGGAAGCATTCTTTGGTGTCCCAGACTAGGTTAAATGTCCTTGTTTAAGGATACAAGTGCCTTGGTTCAGAAGAGCATCAGCATTTCTGTAAGTTATACACATGACATCCGTAATTACTAGTTTCGATGTCAATATCCCCTCAGACAGCAATGTTGTTCACCTATGGGCCCCCTAAACACAGTTGAGGCTCAACAAATTGTTGAATAAATGAATGAATAATTAAAAAATAATAAATAAATAAAATTATTTTTGAATGGCAATCTTTAGAATCAGGACACAGTTTTCTTTCCCTCTTTTTCTTTTGTTGTCAGTACTCAGACAAGAAAGGAGCGGGGCACAACATTTAAAAGAATGACATAGCCTGAGGACATGACACACGGATTAGAAACAGCCGTGTCCAACTCTTTGAGACCCTGAATTCTCCAGGCCAGAATACTGGAGCGGGTAGCCTTTCCCTTCTCCATGGGATCTTCCTAACCCAGGTCTCCCGCACTGCAGGTGAATTCTTTACTGCCTAAGCCATCAAGGAAGCCCCGTATTCTAGTGGAGCACTTACTGTTTAGACACTGATCTAAATGCCTTCAGTGTCTTTGCTGCTGTCATTCAGTCACTCAGTCGTGTCTGACTCTTTGCGACCCCATGGACTGCAGCACGCCAGGCTTCCCTGACCTACACCAACTCCCGGAACTTGCTCAAATTCATGTCCATCAAGTCAGTGATGCCATCCAACCATCTGGTCCTCTGTTGTCCCTTTCTCCTCCTACCTTCAATCTTTCCCAACGTCAGGGTCTTTTCTAGTGAGTCAGTTCTTTGCATCAGGTAGCCAAAGTGTTGGGAGTTTCAGCTTCAGCATCAGTCCTTCCAACTGATGATTGATTTCATTTAGGATTGACTGGTTTGATCTCCTTACAGTCCAAGGGACTCTCAAGAGTCTTTTCCAACACCACAGTTCGAAAGCATCAATTCTTCA